TGAATATAATCCATATGAATCTTATGATATGATAGAACCTACAGTATATGATTTATTTTACTATTGAATATGAATAGTTCAAGAATTATTACTATTTTTGAGATTAATGAGTTTTAGCAAACAATTTCAACTGAAAAGTACTGTAACATAATCTCACAAAACGCAATTGAATTGTTAAATGTATTGAAAAAGAGTTTGTCTAATTGTAAGCACTAACATTTGCAAAGGGGAGGCATATCACATACCATATTCTGGTCAATGTTCAAAATAATTATTCCGTTAATTACTGCATACAGTAGCAATTTAAAACACATCTACATGATTCAGATGTATTCCAACAATGATTTTCATATCTATTGTCAAATTGAATAAATTATTACCGTATTAACAAATGTAGTAATATCCAGTACGATTTGGTACTCTATTCATTTTACATGTTATTAAATCCAATTATTACAGTTACCATATCATAAAACTTTCTTAATTTTTTTGTTCAAAAAACACTTTATTAAAAATGGTTATATTAACGGAAAAGGAATACATATAATGCAAAGAGTAATTAAATGAATAATTCGTATGATAATAATAAACCGGTGAGTATACATACCGAGTATAGAATAAAAATTAAAGTTAAAAATTAGTTTAAAACATTAATTAAAACATCAGTTGAAACCGATAAGTACTAAAATTGCGATAAAAATATTTGTGTGGAAAAAGTAAAACTTTTTAGAAGAATACTATAAAAGACAATGAATTTGAATTCATAATAAATGTTAAAATGTTTTGAATTAATTGAATGAAAAGCAAAGTGTGGCTGAAGTGGACAGCAAATCAAGAGCTGTATGAATGGATTAATGGGGAAACACTCCATAGGGTTGTGGCGATCGGAATACACCAATGGTTTGCGGCGAACGGACAACAGGAATGGGAAGCCATGGGTACTGATTCTCAAATGAATACCAGACGGGAGTGGTGTTGCCGTTCGCAGTGCCGTTGTTTCGAGAGTTGTGTCGCAAACCCGGCATAAGGACTGTCGGACTGTTTCGCACGTTATTCCAGTTATTGGAGTCACCGCTCATTAGACTCGAGTCTACATCATATAAACACATGAAATAATAGCTAATAATTCAGAATTAGTCACAGAATTCATACAGAAGTTGGGCGTCAAGTGTTTGGATGAGTTGTTGTTATACTCGAATTGAGGGGACATTCCGGAGCTCATGAGTTGGCCGTTATGTGGAGAGAATGGATTGGTTTTGACGTTAATCCCAATGCCATCGCCGCCACAGTTTCCGGAGCCAAAGAAGCGCTTCTTTCGTCGCTGGAAATTGTTGACCAGATTTGGTGGCTTAGCCCAAGTGATCTCCAGGTGCTGGCCCTCATCAGTCAGACCAGTGGATCGCAAATCTGATTCTGAAAATTAAGTCAATTGTAAGCAATTGATGCCAAATATAAGCGCATTATTTGTTTGAAATACTGGACAGAGTCTGGAGGGCGAGCTCTGCGTCCTCGCGATTGAAGTAGTGAACGAACGCATAATTCTTGAGTTTCTTCACTTTCTGGACGTTTATTTTCGGCGGACTTTTCAACGCAAATATGTTTTTAATCATATCTTCAGTGCAATCGGCGCTCAAATGCCGCACAAATAGAACCTCAACCTGAAGTCAACATCACATACATCATGAGAATCTATATTTTATGCGTTAAAGCTCTGCTTTTTCAGTAATCTTATAAAGCTTTCATATTTTCAAAAGCAACACAAAAGCATAAAAATTACTCAAAATAGCTTTCGTTTGGATTCATATATTTGTCAAATCTATGGTTACCTTAGACATGATCTCATCGTCGAGATTAGGCTCCGGGACAGCCCAGTCG